CTACCTCCAGTCACCTCCTCTGCCTCCAGGCTTTAGTCACCTCCTCTACCTCCAGGCTTTAGTCACCTCCTTTACCTCTAGATTAAAGTCACTCCTCTACCTCCAGGCTTTAGTCACCTCCTCTCCATCTAGATTAAAGTCACATCCTCTTCCTCCAGGCCTTAGTCACCTCCTCTGCCTCCAGGCTTTAGTCACCTCCTTTATCACCTCCTCCCGGGGAGTGTCCTCCCCCTCTGAACCCGTTCTCCCTCCCACTGTGACCCAGGTGGAGGTGAGGGGGCGTCTCTGGGCGACCTGTTCCGCGCCTGTGAGCAGGGCGGGGTCTGCCCCCTGGGCCGGCCCCCCCAGGGAAAGGGCCAGTCCCAGTGTAGGCAGTCCTTCCTCCGCCGGGCTCTTCCTCCAGGCTTTAGTCACCTCCTCTACCTCCAGGCTTTAGTCACCTCCTCTGCCTCTAGATTAAAGTCACCTCCTCTTCCTCCAGTCACCTCCTCTGCCTCCAGGCTTTAGTCACCTCCTCTGCCTCCAGGCTTTAGTCACCTCCTCTTCCTCCAGGCTTTAGTCACCTCCTTTGCCTCCAGGCCTTAGTCACCTCCTCTTCCTCTAGATTAAAGTCACCTCCCCTTGCTCCAGGCCTTTGTCACCTGCTCTACCTTAGTCACATCCTTATCCTCCAAGCTTTAGCCACCTCCTCTACCTCCAAGCTTTAGTCACCTCCTCTCCATCTAGATTAAAGTAACTCCTATTTCTCCAGGCTTTAGTCACCTCCTTTACATTTAGATTAAAGTCACTCCTCTTCCTCCAGGCCTTAGTCACCTCTTCTGCCTCCAGGCTTTAGTCACCTCCTTTACCTCTAGATTAAAGTCACTCCTATTTCTCCAGGCTTTAGTCACCTCCAGGCCTCCAGTCACCTCCTCTTCCTCCAGGCTTTAGTCACCTCCTCTACCTTAGTCACATCCTTAGCCTCCAGGCTTTATTCACCTCCTCCCGGGGAGTCTCCTCCCCCTCTGAACCCGTTCTCCCTCCCACTGTGACCCAGGTGGAGGTGAGGGGGCGTCTCTGGGCGACCTGTTCCGCGCCTGTGAGCAGGGCGGGGTCTGCCCCCTGGGCCGGCCCCCCCAGGGAAAGGGCCAGTCCCAGTGTAGGCAGTCCTTCCTCCGCCGGGCCGCCGACCCGCAGCTCAACGAGCGCCTGCACCGCCTCCGCATACTCACCTCCACCCTGAAGGTGGGTCCACGTGCACATGCACATGCACATGCACGCTCATGCAAAGGCGGGGCGTCTCCTCAGGGCCGCAAAGCACTCAAATAGCACTCAAATATAATGTGTGTACAGTTTAAATAAAAAAAAAAAAGCAGCTACAGTTAATCACTCTGATATGAACTCAACGTCATTTTAGATGTTTGTTTTCAACCTTATTTATATATATTCATATAAAATATGTACATAAGTCTAAAAGAAACCATCATGCATCAGTAGCCCAAGTGGTCACATCAATACATCTTCAGATTTTTCTTTAGCTTCCCACATAATAGCATCAATTTTTCCCACTTTTTTACTACATCAATACAGCAGAAAAAAATAAAAATAAAACGCATTTCCAGTTATTTCTACAGCCTTCTGTGTTGATATGTTTCAAACAATAAGAGATTTTGCAAATCTACTCGCAGCAATAATTTTATATATATGCCACATGATCAGGTTCCCATTGGAAAAACATTCCCCTGATCCAATATGGCGGCTTTCAAGATGGCCGCCACGTTCCAAGCACTATAGGCCCCCTTCCCAAAGCACTCAGACGCCCCCATTTTCCCCGATTTTATGCCTCTAAATTCGACCTGCTGGGCTCCAGATTTCTTATCTCCAATTTTTTTTAACTTAAATCTGTGCCACGCATTATTCATATGCAGAAAAAAAGATAATTAAAGTTCACACACAATCCAGAAAGGTGTGATGAATAAACAAAGAGTCAAACATAGGGGTCACCAGGTGTCTTACAACAGGGATAACAGCATTTAAATTTCCAATTTTGCAGGAAACTGATATGGAAAGAAGGAATTGGCCCTCATTCTATTTTTAAAAATGTCAATAAATGATCTACTTCTTTATGGGGACTTATTATATTTTAGATTTTCCTATCTAATGACCATAGAACCAAAAAGGCTTACCAATTAAGTACATCCTACTTTTATTACAGACATTAGCTTCTCTCATATGTCATTTACCCTTTTTATAACACAATTCTCTGCATTTTTATTTTCCGAAGGAGCTAAAAAGATAGTTTTTCAAAAGTTTGAGAAGAGTAAAATTGGCCAATAACAACATCACTGTTAGAATAGGATGTCCAAGTCAAGAGGTAGTGACAGTAAAGCAGGTTTACTTAAGATAGCTGTGAATAACAAATGTTTTCCCAGTTCTGATGGTGCAGGACAGTAGAGGGGGAAACTAGCTAAAGCTTTAGCTGCTTTAGCTAAAAGAGCTAAAGCAGCTTGTTTAGGATGGTTTAACCTACAAAAATCCTCTAGTTAAACTCTAGAGTGAGAAAATAAACCTGGAAGTGAACCTAAAATGTCCCAATCCAACATTAGAAAGTGCAATGAGGCATTGGCATTTCGAAAACCAACTTTTCCATTTAATGCTAGCTTAGCTTGCTAACGAGCTAACAGCTACATTTACGGTGGTACAAGAAGCTGTTGTGGAGTCAAAAAAGTTGGTTTTATCTATCTTAATTTATGTTATTATCCTTCTTTTGTAGCTCCACGCTTTACCTGACTGGTCAGGGTCCTCAAAAACGTTGAACCAAATGGTTTTATTTTTTCTTACTTTATCTAAAAAAGCATTCGAGGGGAAAAACGTCTGATAAAAAAATAACAATGACAACTAATTCTGCCTGTAACAGACCGATGCCCTTGTTATTTTCTGCTCAGATTGATGTGCTATTCCAAAAACAGCAGCTCTTATGACGGTTTATTTAAATATTAGTGATCACACAGGGGGTTGTGGTTCCTGAAAACTGCATATTTCAACATGTACGGTGTTTTAAATGTGTGTTTTAATGCTAGCTCGTGTCTCAGTGTGTCTCCTCGGTGTGGTTTGAGTCCTCGGTGTGAGTCTGGAAGCTTTTTGTGTCTCCAGATTTTGTATATTTGCTGCTTTTGCTGTTAACAGAACCCGGTTATGATGGAGGGCGGTTGTCTCTTGTTTCAATGGCTTTTCTGTCTGTTTTCTTGTTCTTTTATCGACGTTTGGCTTCGGCCGTTTGTTCTCTGTCTGGCGTCTCTCGTACGAAGCTTTGGGGAGAGTTTGGTTGAAACATTTCTGAAGTGTGGACTTCAAAGTGAGCCTGGCTGAACAAAATTAGTAATGGAAGAAGAAGAGTTTGCTTGGGATGAAAGGGATTCTGATCGTGTGAAGTTCATTTGATGCCTTCGAAAAAATGACACATTTTATCATTAAATCATCAGCATTGTTCTTCCACCAAGTTTTCTTTCTTTATTTGGCTTTTTCTGCATGCAAATGGGCACTTAGAAAATGGATATTTGCATAATAAAACCTCAGTTTTTGAATTTTATGTGAGGTTAATTACCTGAAAAATGGCTCTTCAGATGGACTCCTTTGTTATTCAGAAAGAGCATTACCTAAAGGTTTTTTCATGTTCAGTCTATCACTTCAGAACATCTATTTTTTCGCTATTTATTATACAAATTATGCTGCATTTGCATACCAGCAGTACTTACTGAGATTTATATTCTTTAGAGTAAGTCAAACTGTATAATGTAGTATCTTAACTTGAAAAAACTCAGTAAGTTATTTACTTCTGTAATGTTTCTAGTCACAGTTAAACTGAGCAATAAGATTTTTATTGATTCTTATTCTTGTTATTATTATTCAACAGTGTTTATCTCTCTGCACATTAAAACCACAAATCAGAAAAATATAATGTGTGTACAGTTCAAATGAAAAAAAAAGCAGCTAAAGGTAATTACTCTGATATGAACTCAACGTCATTTTAGATGTTTGTTTTCAACCTGATTTATATATATTCATATAAAATATGTACATAAGTCTAAAAGAACCATCATGCATCAGTAACCCAAGTGGTCACATCAATACATCTTCAGATTTTTCTTGAACTTCCCACATAATAGCACCAATTTTTCCCACTTTTTTACAGCATCATTAAAGCAGAAAAAAAAAATCGCATTCAACTGAACGTCACTGGGAACATTTCCGGTTATTTCTACAACCTTTTGTGTTGATATGTTTCAAACAATAAGATATTTTGCAAATCTATTTACAGCAATAATTTTTCTGAACAATTCTGGTCTGTTTTGATACGCGACATGACCAGGTTCATGACCAGAAAAACATTCCCCTGATCCAATATGGCGGCTTTCAAGATGGCCGCCACGTTCCAAGCTCTATAGGCCCCGTTACCTGCTTGGGTATTCAGATATGTAATTATTTTCCCTTTAGTTTCCTGTATACATACGATAATAAAACTAAATCTGCTACAACTGTGATTTAAGGGAACTACCCAAAATATTTAATACGTTTTTCACGAGAATTTTAACACAATCTTGTTTCTGAATTGATGGAAGATGATGTAAAGAATAGAACAGGTTTACATCAGTTTATGACAGAAATAGCTTGTCAAACATGGCACATATTTATCCAAAGTCCACATGAGAAGTGATCAAATCCACATAAAGCAACAGTGCAGAATAAATCCAACAATTTAACCCTATAATGCCAAATATGTAATATTTGATACATACAGTTTCTGAAGTCTTTTGGATCTGAGACTTTTTGCATCATTCAGTGGTAAAAGCTTTGCTCAAACCCCTGTTGTACACACTCAGATATAAATTGTTTTACTTATTGCATGCTAATTTGATAAACTAATTTCAGTTTTTTTTGCTTCATATGTTGTCGCGGGGCCAAAGAAAGACTCCAGACTAAAAAAAATCCAATATTCTTCCTATTTTCCTTGGATCAGGCTTTAAAGGGTTAAGAACAAGTCTCATATTTGATACATACAGTCTTTTGGATCTGAGACTTTTTGCATCATTCAGTGGTAAAAACTTTGCTCAAACCCCTGTTGTACACATTCAGATATACATTTTTGACTCATTGCACGCTAATTTGATCAAAATAATTTCGTTTTTTTTTTTTCTGAATATGTTGAAAGACTTCAGACTAAAAAAATCCAATATTCTTCCTATTTTTCTTGGATCAGGCTTTAAAGGGTTAGGAACAAATCTCCCCAAATCTGAGTGTATCTGGATCCGTGTCTGTCTTGCGTCCCGTGTGTCTGCGTCTCAAAAAAAGCTCCACGAGTTACCTGGAGTTACCTGGAGTTACCTGGAGTTACCTGGAGTTACCTGGAGTTACCTGGAGTTACCTGTAAAAGTGACCCGGCCCTCCTCTGTTCTGTTTCTGGTTTTTCTGCACCCCCATAGGACAGGGAGGGCGAGCTCGCTCTGATCGAGCGGCTGCTGGCCAGCCCCCAGCTGTCGTCGGCAGAGTTCCAGGAGTGGAAGAGAGCCTATCAGGAGCTGTTCTTCGCTCAGGAGAACGAGGCCCCGCCCCCGGCCGAGGCCGACCCCGCCCCCCCCCCCCCCCCCTCACCCCCTCCCTGGCCCACACGCACTCCTACATCGAGACGCACGTCTGACGCAAACCTAGGCCTCCGACCCATTTCCAGGGATGGGGATCGTTAATATTTATCGATGTCGATACCTTTATCGATGCTCCTCATCGATCCGAGTCTTTATCGATACCACTATGCAGTGGCGCCACCTTCTGGTCTGGAGTGTAAACACTTCCCTATGACAAAAAGGAGCAGCGCATGAACCGAACGCAACACACGCGAATCGAACCGAGACAGTCCAACCCAACGGTTCAGACGGTTTTCAGAAACCGTCCCATCCCTACTATCGATACTTTTCTGTTATTTGGTGGAAAGACGATGCGACGATATTTAGCAAATAAATTATTGTGTTTTAAATTAAATGTAATTTTTAATAAATGTTGGCATCAGTAGTTTAATTATATGTTCTAAAATAATTAGAGCAATATCCAACTGTATTACTCATGTTTCGCGCCAAAAACTCAATTTCCCTTTTCTTTACGTTACACCTGAACGCATCATGATAACCTAATTGTCGTTTTACTGAGCCAATCTGAACACATCATCACGCAGCACGTCTGAAACTTTATTTACTTTTCAAGCTAACATTGTAATGTAATTAAATTACATTTAATTTAAAATACAATTATTTATTTTGCTAAATATTGTCGCATTGTCTTTCCACCAAATAACAGAAAAGTATTGATAGTGGTATCGATAAAGACTCGGATCGATAAGGAGTATCGATAAAGGTATCGATATCAATAAATATTAACTATCCCCATCCCTGCCCATTTTTGGGCAGGTTTTCTTGGGTGTTACGTGTTCGCTTTTGTGCTCTGTGCCTGAAAAATGCTCGTCGTGGAAAAAGGCAGAACTGATGGGACGGCAGAAAGTCTATTTCAGGGGTGTCAAACTCAAAAAACACGGTGGGACAAAATTTAAAACCTGAACAAAGCCGATGGCCAAGATTCAACAAATTAACATTTTAATATTTTACTTTAACATTGAATATGGAAAAAAATAATCTAATGTTCTAAATTTGAACTTCATAAACTGCACTTTTATGAGGCATTCAATGTAAACATTGTTAAATCATATCATGTTTCAAAATAAATTAAATGAAATGAAAATTAAATTAAATACCTACTGTCACAGAGGAGTTTCTGGGTCCTGTCCTGAACAACAGCAGGGCATTATGGGAGTTGTAGTAGAATCAGAATCAGAATCAGAATCAGAATCAGAATAAGGTTTATTGCCAAGTAGGTTTTTAGACTTACAAGGAATTTGCCTCAGTGTTTGGTGCACAACACAACACTTCTATGAGAAGCAAGAAATAAAATGTAGAAATAAAAATATAGAACAGAAATGATAAAACTATATAGATCTGAATGTACAAATGAACAATCTTTAAAAATATAGAACCGAATGTGAAAATGAGCGGTTAATGTGCTGTACAGCTCTCGTAGTCATTTGGTATTGTCTCTAAGGCCAAATATAATTAGAGTTTGACACCCCTGGTCTATTTATTTGTCTCCCATGGCGCCGTGTCCCATAAAGCCTTATTACTGTACAGTGAGTGTTAAAGCTGAAGAAGACCACGCGCAAATTTTGGGCTTTTTTAAAATCTAGTTTAGAGGCTTTTTTCGTGCCACTCGTGTAGGATTTCCACTCTGCGCTGGGCTGGTCCTAAAGCATGCACCCCGACTCAAAATAAAGCCATTTAAAGGGAAAAAAATCCACCCAGAAGTGATCGAGAAAACTTTTTAAATGGCCGTCTTGTATTTAGGAGGCTAAATGGCCCCCTGTAAAACGGGGACGGGGAGTGGAACACTGGTCAAATTTCCAGAACCTGCTTTTTTTACGTTTGCACCATCGAATGTATTTGAACTTTTAGTTTAAAAGCAGATGTGGAAAAATGGCTAATTCAGACCAGGATGCTGAAACAAAATGTAGGGAGTTTGGGTTTTGACTCATGGTGATGGATGCTTTTTTAGGGACTTTCAAGGTCTTCTCCATGAAGTCCGTTCAGCTCTACCCGGTTAAAATTCCTCACCCTGATCAGTGTTCATCCGCCATAAAGCCCCTTTTACAAAACCTAACCGAGAGATTTTAGGCTAAAAAAAAAACAAGCTAATTGCTTGTAGCTATTACAGCTGTTAGCTTACAGCTATTTTCCATTTCTGAAGTGCTATTAATCCTGTTCAGGTCCAGATTCCTGAGTGGCATTAACCCTCAAACACTGTAATAATTTGCATAGAAACGTTATATACGTTATATACTCGTATTCAGTCTGATGAGCGCACAGGCTAACTGAATGCTAACAGGTCACGGACCAAACAGACTGTAAGGAAATTAACAGTACAGTTATCCACTGTTATTCATAGTTCATCTGCACATAGAAACACTTTTTAAACGTTAAAAAACTCATGCAAACATCTTTAAACCGTGTTCGACAGGCCCCATTCAGGAAGACACTGTGAATGTATTCAAAGCATAAATAACAGAGTATACAGAATATTATTATAGCGTTTGTGTCTATTTAAAACAAATATATTATTATTAAGGAAATCTGTATTTGATGATGAATGGAAGAAAATGTCGTTTTTAAGGCACTGAATTTGCACGTAATGCGTTTGGATTTATGACAATAGAAGATTTGATAGAAGCCTGGTTCCATTATCACTATATTTCCAAAAGTATTTGCTCACCTGCTGAACGAATACTTTTGGTGATATGGTTTATCTGCGGTAACAGTTCTTAGACAAAACAGGGAACCCCAAAAGTAACAAAACACACAGAGTAAACACTCTACTTTTGCCATTTTAAAGTTTATAATTCACTGAAATAACTTAATCTGCTAACATGTTTGGTTTGAACAGGTAACTTGACAAAGATGTAGTTAAATTAATCCTCAAAATGCCCTTTTAAACCGTTACATGGACAAGTTATGACTACATTAACTCTTATTTGCAACTACACTTTGTTAGCAATACCAAGAAGACGATTAGCTTAGCTTCGCCTAGCATACAACACCAAAAATAAATTAAGGTCCTAATAAACATTTCTTGCTACAGATTTAAAACACTCATCAGGGAGCAAAGAGGGTCTGATAAAGATGCTTTAAAAGTTGCCTGGATGTGAGCCACCCCCCTAAATGACTTGAAAACTCCTTAATATTTTGCCTTTTGTGTCCTATAATCATAAATTTGCCACACTTTTTTTTACTCCAGTCATTTATCCATTGCATTGGAACGTGATAAACTTGATCAGCTCGTATTCCAGCTGTGTCCCTGAAAGTAACATCTGCCGTCAGGCCGTATAATTCACATAAATAATATGCAATTAGCTGCATTTCCCCTTCGCCACGGCATCCGAAATAGCGTCGCAAACGTAGTCGATAATTCACAGATCTTAAACAAACTTACCTTCATTCAACATCAGATGTTATATTTAAAACTTCCACTTTGTATGAATGTGAATTAGAATAAGTAGACGTTTCTATTCAGCTTTTTAGGCTTTTTAGACTGCTGCAATACTCTCTGTGTTTGTTCTCTTGGTTTTCATCATCCTCAGTGTCATTATGAAGAAGTGGTCACTCTACTAAGTGCTTGAATAAAGTAAATCAATGTAATCATGCAGATGAACACGTATTTTAATAATGTAACCTGTCAAAAGTTTAGTTCTTTTCAGGGGAGTTTTACTTCTGACATATTTATCTGATCATTTGTAGAGTAAAAGGGGTGGATTCTTATTCTTGGAGATGATTTTTGCTCTCTTTTCCTGCATGTGACATAGAACATATGAGGAATATTTTGCATAGGAAATTATGGGTCTTATAAAGATATCACTGTCTTTTGTAGGCTGCTGGCAAATATATGAAATTAAGACACTGCACAGAGCTCTGAAAGCGAAAAAAGCCCTCAGTTTGAAGGCTCTGTGCTGCTGCCCGTGTTCGCATGTCTTTGTTGTAGATAAATGAACAATATTCATTTCTGTTCTTGTGTTTGAAATCTCTAGATACAGTAGATCTCTATTCACGGAGTGGAAACGTGTCGGGTGACGGTCTCTGATTTTATCGGGTTGATTTCGGCCGATTGTCGTCGAGTACGGGTTGTTTTCATGTTGGATCTATAAATTACGGTTAAATACAGTATTTATTTATGTGATCTTTTCTTTTTGTGTTGGAAGAGGAGGGTGGGTAAATAAAGTTCTGGTCCTTTGGATGATGGTGTTTTGTGGTTTGTTCTGAAGAGCATCGGTGTACTGCCTGCTAAAAGCTCAAAATGTTCTTTTGTTCTCGTTTAAAAGCCCTCACAAAATAGCTTGAATTTGATTTGCAAAGTGGCCGAGAAAAGGTTTTAAACTGGCCAGCGTGATGCTGATTCATACAAAAAACAGCACTCATTTTTATCATCTTATGGTTTAATTTCAGTGTTTCAATTCAGCAAACTGTTTCTAGAGTTTGGTTTTACATAGAAATATATATAAAATGCACTTTAACTCAACTGTTTCCTTTGTAATAATACAGTTACAAGTGACTAAGTCAGAGTTTTTGAAGCTTTTTCCCGCCAGAAACACTTCATATAAGTTATTTTATGATGTTATACTTTTTCGTTTGACTTGTGAAATCAAAACAAGTCATAAACTGTTAGATAAACTAATATCTTAAGAGCTGATGAATGTAGTAAGTTGTATACTTTTTACCGTTTATTTAAAATTAAGCCGTGGAGCTAGCTTGAAAAGAAACATCTTCAAAAATTTAATAGATATCAAAAATAAAATAATTAACTGGAATGTTACATTTTTAAAATGTTTGGACAGTAATATCTTTATGAAATGACTTGTGCATTCATGCAATATGACATTTGAGATTGGACCTAAAATACCTTTTGAAGAAGCAAAAAAGAAAAGGTGTTGGGGGATTTTTAACCAAATACAGTAAATGTTGAGGCACTTCATACTGAATATATGCCATCTAAACACGATGTGTAAGGAGACTCTATATTATGTATAAAGGATTAAGTATCAAAGAAATGCATGAATAAAACATTTTACAAGGCTACTGAGCTTTTACCCACAAGTCATGCATATGATTTCACATTAATACTTTTCCTTCAACATGAACTTTGGGTGCCAGCTTCCACAGAATGAAAACCAGGAGATAAAAACACATGTTCAATGTCTCTCTTTAGAAATAGAAACCTTTAATATGAGTTAATAAGCAGGACACATTTTAGCTTTTTTTTTTTAATCAGCTCTTTAGCTGTTTTTACTTCTACTATTTATTACTTGGTGTCCTATGTAGAATTTTAATCCCTTTCCTAAACATATCTTCTGAATTGCTATATTTGTTCCCTATATTTATCTTTTTTTTTAACCACGCTAACATATTGCTAATTTTTACATGACCTCTGAGAAGTTGTTGTTTGGCATTTTAAAGTGTATAATTCACTGAAATAACTTAATCTACGAACATTTTTGGTTTGAACGGGTAACTTGACAAAGATGTAGTTAAATTAATCATCAAAATGCCCTTTTAAACCGTTACATGGACAAGTTATGACTACATTAACTCCTATTTGCAACTACACTTTGTTAGCAATACCAAAAAGACGATTAGCTTAGCTTCGCCTAGCATACAACACCAAAAATTTTGCAGAAATTACTCTGAGCAGAGATTGGCACATAATAACATAGTATAGCTTATTTAATAAATATGTTAAATAACCTAAATGTACAATTATTGGTTAATTATGGGTTTTCTAGGAAGCATAGTGAGTTATATGGTTATGGTGGAGGTGTCTGGCTTAGCTTGCTAGCTATTAGCATCTTTTTCTACACTCCTAGCTCATTATTCAGTCAAAGATAATCCTAATTTTCCCTTTCCGCTAACATTTCATCCTTTAAACAGCCTCCCCTTGCTCTTTTTTGTTAGGTTAGCCACAAACCTTGCATGCATTATTGGATTTTAGTTTAGTTTTCAGTTAAATATAATAATTTGATTTAATTTAAATATTAATTTCCAGTGTTTTAGCAGTTTCTTGAAAGGTGAGA